TTGACTTCTTCGATACTTCCTATCACCAAAGAAAATACATACTGTAGAAGGGTTAATTATTCACTGGGTTTTAATTTTGCTGACTGGAAAATGCACTAAATTAAAACCCAGTGAATATGTAAAATTTAGCATAGAACACATTATCTAAATGATAAAACCATGAATTTCAAAACCCTCTAAATAAGCCTGAAATGCTAAATCAGCGAAATTTAAGTGAAAATTAGTCGGTTTACAGTAGTGAAAGCTTTGTAACGTCTTAGTTTAATCCCATTGGTCTGTGCAACCGTCAAAGTTGCCATCTTTGTTCATAGAAGACCCATATCTCGCGCAAAAGGAAAGTTACCATTAACCTCTTACCTTTTTTGTAGGAATGTATTTAACAGTGCAGAGCTTAGCCATGTTACTCATGTTTGGATTCTAAGCATTAGTATTCTGTACATTTATTTAACAGTGCAGAGCAAAGCCATGTTATTCATGTTTGGATTCTAAGCATTAGTATTTTGTACATTTATTTATTTATCAAATTAAAATTTGTGGAATATTAATCATTCTCTCTTTTCACTTGTATCCAGAGTGTAAATTCAAAGACAGACATTACAACGAGGAAAACACTCCTCACATTCCTATGAATCGTGCCCACTTCTGTGATGTAAAAATGACGCAAGTTGTCTTATATGAATAACATGTGCAAATACTACAAAAAATAACTATTATTGATGGTGATGAAAATTGTTTTAAAAGTTGTAAGTTTTTAAAAGGAAACCTGCTGATAGCCAGATTGTAAGTTACACCCGGCCTGTACTGTAATAGATCTCTTAAAAAAAAAGGCCACAGATCAACAAAATAGTGTTCATTATTTATTCCAATTTAAGTCACAGAACAGATTTTCTGCAAGAGGGCGCAATTCATAGGAACGCATCACTACGTATTCAATTGTTTTTCTAGTGTCTGAACTAATTACGAGGACCGCTATTGTGTGCAATGTTAGACAAAGCCCAGTCAGCCAGTTAGTTTAATAGTAAAACACAGATAATGATAAATTAAAACTTCACGGTTTCGTCATTAAAATAATGTGTTTTATGCTAAATTTTACATATTGACGGTGTTGTAATTTAGCGCATTTTTCCAGTCAGCGAAATAAGCTAAATTAAAACCCAGTGAATAAATAACCCCTTTACAGTAACAGCTTATTGCATATCTCTAAGACAAACATTTTAAAAACACACTGAAAACAGACTATTCACTTTTAAATAAATTCAACATAAAATGCACAATGTAAATAAATAAATACTAGCTTCACTTCATTAAAAAAAAAAT